TTTTTTGCTATTGTCAATGTGTTGTTTGTTTTCAAACAAACAAACAAACAAACAAACGCAAACGAAATTTTCACTTAATTTCCACATAAGAACGTTTCTTTTTTTTCTTTGATGGAGTTTTTTTTCCCTTTTTTCCTTTTTTAAATAAAATGATATCGGAAAATTTTATATGAAAATTTGGGGTAGAGTGGAGGGGTAGGAAACGACGGGCGTAATAATAATAATAATGATGTAAAAAGCCGAAAGTAAAAAAACTCATCGTTTTTGTTTTTGTTTTTTTTTTATCGAATCGAAATTTTTTTTAACGAGAAAGCAAAAAAAAAAGAAAAGAAAATTATTATTATTATTATTATTATTATTATTTATATATTTATTCGCTCGATGCTTTTTAAAAATCAATTATTAATAATTAATTGCTTCTTTTTTTCCCACCCCCACCACCCCCTCTTCCTCCTCCTTCTTCTTTAAAAAGAAGAAAAACTCGAACGGTTTTTCTAATATAAAGCTTTTGAAAATGTTTGTTTAGGTTGTTGTTGTTGTTGTTTTTTTCCTGTTGTTATCATCATCATCATCATTATTATTATTTTTTGTTTTCCGCGTTTTCGTAATTAATTAATTTCCAACGACTCGACATTTTCTTTTTTCTCTCTTTTCCTTTCTTACGTGCCAGGACACGATTTGTATACCTTCAACACCAACAGTAATTAATTTTCATAAAATAATAAAATATTTTAACGATCTTTACTTAAATTTCTTTGTTTTTTTTTTTTTTTTAAACTTTCTTCTCGCGTCTCATTTCACAAAAAAAAAATGATCATCATTATCATCATCATTTCCTTTTCCTTTTGTTAAGGAAACCCAAATAAATAAAATAAAACGCAATAAAAAAAACTTTTGTAGACGTTAAAAAAAAAAAAGCGTAAGTAAAAGTCGTAAATTTTATTATTATTATTATTATTATTTCGCAACAGAAAATTATCCTTAAAAAAAAAAGGGAAAAAAAGGGAAGAAAAGGGAATGAAAAGTTTGTTTTATATCATCGGGAAAAAATTATAAGATAAAAAGGAAGCCATTTTAAAAGTGGATGAAAATGTGCAGAATTTTTTCTTCTAATCGACTCGTTTGTGTCTTCCCCCCCCTCCCTTTTTCGACTTTTATAAATTGTTTATTTTCTCGCCAGGTACGAAAAAACGAAAAAAAGCAGACGATATTATAAACTAAAATTTTTTCTTTTAGGAAATTCCTTTTTGGTCAACATCGCACTTGCCGACATATTAATAACAGGTTTGGTGATTCCCGCTTCGACGGTCGTCATACTCGCAGATTTGACGGATGCAAAATTCGTCGTTTGTAATTTTCAATGGTTTCTGGCTCTCGTCTCATGTTTGGTATCCGTTCTGACCATATCGGCAACGGCCGTGGAAAACTACGCTCGACTTTGCATGCCACCGGATTGTTACAATAATTTGACGCCGTGTAAAATAACGACCATAATCATTTTCATATGGATAATAAGTTGCACGGCCGTAACGATACAAACCGTCCTCGATTTGGGTCCCGACTACTGTAAGCGAACGTCTCAAGGACTTCTTCCCTATCAGATAAGTATCGGAGTCGTTTTTGTTTTCATACCCGCCATTGTCACCTTTTCCTTTTTCTCCCTGATAACGTACAGAGTTAAAACGTTCAAATCCATTCCGACGTTTCGTCCTCCCGTCACGTTCACATCCGATTACGAACTCATGAAATCAAACATGTACGGATTTATATTTTTCGTCATGTTTTGGCTACCGTTCGGACTCACATTGGCTCTCGGTTCGATACAAACGATATCCCAAAGGATTTTCTACAGTTTGGCGTGGCTCGCGTTGAGCAAATCATGTTTTTTAAATTTTCTTTACTGTTTGACGAATCGGCATTTCAGAAACGCGTACGTCAACTTGTTTCATTATTGCTGTTGTAAAACGACCGTTTCCTTTTCGCGGAGATCTCGCGAACACGTTCGTCCGACCGGAGACGTTCGCGTTCACATTATTCCCGGCTACGACATGTATTCTTACACGAGTCCTCAAAGATCGAGGGATGTTGCTGCTAAAACGTCTGTGAAAAGAGTCGGAGGTACGACGTCGTGCGGTCCGGCATCGACGAGACCGAACGGACGAGACATTTACGAATTATGAGGATAATAATGAAAAATTAATTTTATTTTGCCAAAATGTCGTAAACCGGAAAATTTTTTTCATTTTTCATTTACCCAGAAAATGAAATGAAAGCAAAAAAAAAAAAAAAAAAAAAAAAATTCGAAATATTTGACGAATTTAATAATTTAAAAACGAAGAGGGAACCTTTTTTTTCTCCCTTTTTTTTTTTTTTTTTTTTTTTTTTTTCACAGTTTGATCTCCGAAATATCAAATCAAATTTGAAACCTTTTCCCTTTCCAAAACTTTCAAACCTTTTTTCCGATTTTAAAACATGCCAACGTTTTAATTTATATACTTAT